TTGGCTTTTGCACGTCGGTAGACAACTGGCTCCCGAGCATTACCTCGGAATCCACATGTGCATGCCGGTTCGACACGACTTCCAGGGTTTTCAGAGAAACTTAGAATACCTTCTCTGGGCGGGATCCTTGTACTATGCATCCAAACGTTTGGGTTTCTCTACTAGTGTCCGCGGAGTTTCTGAAACCCCAAACTCTAAACATAAAATTAATTATATTGCCTAGGAGTCAATCTTGAAGGTTCAAGGCTTGATACAACGTATAGGCCTCAAAGAGTATAGTATGTGGTGGCATATGCATAACGAGAGATACGGGTACGAATAGTCATTCAGGCTCCTAGATCGCTCTACACTCTGAATCCCTCAACCCTTAATCGTAAATCAGATCAAGTGCCCCGTAAGTAAAACCCCCAAATTACTGTACAGGACCTCCCGACACGCAGATATAAGCCCAAAAACTCTAACCTCGAAAGCAAACCCTTACTTAGGAATACGGTTTTAGAGGTTTTCTTTTGTGCAAACCCCCGAAGCCTCCACCCTAGAGTCAAAGACCTCAGGTGCTGAACTTGTACAGAAACCTCGCGGGAACCGAAATCCTGTTCTATTTCTCGAAACGTGAAACAACCAGTAAACACCAACAACTCAGAGAATGCAGGTCCTGGAACGTGAAAATCGAGCCTTGGCTTTCGTTCGGTGTGAGCTGAAACTTCAGCTTACTTGGGGTTTGGAAGGCCTGCCTTGACTCCAAGCAACCTACCTTTTTTAAGGACCTGCATGGGTAGTTCTCTACACTAGGATCCCGTTTTAGGTCCCCAGTATAGTACGGGACCCTTATAAAAAGGACCCAAAATGGACCCTGATTTAGAAAACTACCCACATAAGGAAATCATGTTAAGGAACCCCAAACGTGGTAGGCTCTGTCTTTGTGTAGTCCAAGTTGTTGGGTTTGCCAACATTATAAACTGAAACCCTAAAGCATGAACCCCCAAGAGATAATCTGAGTGGAATCAACAGGAAGCCGAAGATAAAGGAAAAGTAAAATGACGATTGCAATTTCTTCAAGCTCCTTATACATGAGTAAACTATAGCATAGCCCCCATACGACCCTGTAATTATGGCCCCAATACTAAAAAAAAGCTTTGTAGTCCCTCTGCCTCTTACGCTACCATGTACAGTACACACATGGTAAACCTTTTCAAAGAAGCGGGCGACTGTGGGGCCTGGGTTTGGTTTTAAGGCTCTTTATTTGGTTTCAGGGATAATATCTCTATGTTGGAGGAGCTTGTGTTTGTGCGGTTTGAAAAACATAATCCACAAGGCAAGGATCATAAGTCATTTTCGGAAGGGCCTTTTAGAGCTGTGCTAGAGGCTCTAGCCTTGAAGGGTTTGGACTCCGGACTATCTACCCAAAGCAAACCTTGCCAACGGCAGCAACAATGCTAACAATGTTTAAGAACATCAACGTACTGATTCGGCCTAAGTAGCTGTCGAATTGCATGTGAGCGAAGCGGCTGTTTATAAACAACCCCTCGGTTTATAAACAGCCCTCGTGTTTATAAACACGGCAAATGGAAATGACGAGAATCCTTGACAAAACGAGGAATCTCAAACAATTCAACAAAGGATCCTGGAACAGAAGGTTAACTTCAGCAAGTAAGCATCACGGGCCCGATCGAAAGACGTACGACGTACAAATTCTTTCTGCGCAAACGCAGGCCCCAGGATCGACCGTTCTGTTTTCAAAACGGCCCCTTCAAGACTCTATTCTAGTAACTGTAAGGCCCCGATTAAACCTTTTCGGCCGTTTCGTCGGGGGGGTCGGATCCGAAGACGACTTTGGCGCGAAGTCTGCTTCCCTGACTTTAAGGACGTGGTCTAGATTTTAAGGATTCAGGTTGAGGGTTGAGGGCTTAGGGTTTAGGGGTGTTGGAAGTAGCTTGTTCAGGGAATCCATTACATAATGGCTTGTTGAATGCCGCTAAGCATAAACGTAAACGTCCTGTAGGGTGGGCCGGATTAGGGCATAGAGCTTCATGGCTTAGGGCTTACATACGGTTTAGCGAAATCTTGGCGCGCCCTAGGATGTAATTTTGTGAGAAAACCGGCGCCGTATGTTTTGGCAACTCTGGGCCCAACAAGTCTCCAGCAAGTCTTGGTTGTGCTTGTTTGTTCCAGGAACTTGTGTTGTGGTTTCAAATAACTACGCAACGAAGACAGCCAGGAATACATGGCGGTTCACTGTTTCGAAAAGCTTGCAACATGTTGGCAGCAGTTATTCAACACGTTGCGCCTCTGCAATCGGGCCCGGTTCTGGATAAACGCCCCAAAAAGCAACAGGATGGTCTGCACACTATGCGAGCCAAGGTCAGAACTTCATGTCCGCCCGAAACCCAACCCCTTGAAACGTCCTCGCAAACATGAGCTAGCTCAAAACCAACAACTGTAGCTGCTACCTCAGCCAGCCTATACCTGTCGGAACCATTACGCTGAAAATGCGCTGTTGCCCTCATTGACTGGTCGTTGTGATCTAACCACATGAGCCAAGCAGCGTGATGACCGGCTCTTGGTATTGATAACCGGACCACTCGTACCTTTGGTTTCTGGGGTTCATGTCCGGTAACGTTTCACAAAGCCAGGCGTCTGAACTGCATGACAGCCACAATTCTGAATGTCCCAACAGCATCCAAGTTGCCGCTTCAGGGGAAACCATGCCCATGTCCGCTTCGCACGGAGTGACACCTGTGCGTTGAAACTCATCAACAACCTTGCCGACTTGCAGCCGCACCAAGGTTTCCCGTTTCGTCCAGGACCCAGCCTTCCGAGCCCCCGGAAAAACGAAAACTGATGGAACACGTGGGTTGCAGACTCAAGGATTCGAGAATTGAAATCCCGCCCTGTGAGCTCCTGAAAACAAGGCATCCATGCCAACCCGCAAATCGACTTCCCAAGGCTGCATGCAACAAGTTTCATTTCAGTGACAACTGTATCATCACAGTGCGGCGATCGGAAAAAAGCTCTTGACAGCATCAGAAATCCAGGAACCGACAAGTCAAACAACTAGCGCGTAACTCAGTGGCGAAAACATGGGTTTCCACATGCCATGCCACCAATCCACAACACAGCCCAGGGTCTTAAGCATGAGCACGGCATTAAGTTACCATGCAGCTTCATTTCCAGACGCAGCCGAAGCCCAATGGTGAAAGCTTCGTAAGGCAAGTTTGTATGATCAAGTCACACATCCTGGAGGCTTCCGGCCTCATGTTATACAGCCTCAATCGGACTTATGCGTCTACGCGTTTTGGAAGTTAAACTGATTGCATCAGACGAGGGCAGCAAAACGTGCATCGCATGGCCGAAACTTTTCCTGCTGGTCATCGGCCTTCCAGGATTGGTCCACAAGAAGTATCTGCGCATAACCCCTCCCTAGAAAGAGAAGGCACCCCGTTGAGAATCCATTACTGGCTGGTGTAGTCTGGTCTCCCGTAAGGAACAATTAATGTATTCCAGCGGGGTGAAGGACGTTCGGATTTCATGGGGTTTGAGAATATTTGAAGTTTCGGCTTCGACAGTTATCGACTCTCACTCTCGCACAAGACTCGCACTCTCGTCCTACACTTGCCCGGCACTGGGTGTCACGAGCCGCTTGTGGTTACTAGCGGCGCAAGCCTGGGCCTCCCTAAAAAGCAATGGTCTCAGTTAAAGGAAACTACAGGTGGAAGTTTAGGGTATACAGGGCTTCTATAAGGCTTTTATGAGGCTCCTATAGCGGTAACTACCCACCTGAAAGTCCTAGATCTTGGGAACCCTCTAGGCCCTCGTTCGACCTGAGACCATTCCACTTAGCCAACTCTCGTAGCTTGGCTCGGCTGGGTGATTGATTTGGAACAAGAGCTGCGAGGCCTTATCTACGAGCTCATGCTTTCAGAACACGGCAGTGCATGCGACTCAACTCTCCTACATCGAATGACCGCAATACGACAGCCTTCCTCGGACCAAGCCGCACCGCACCAGCGGCGGCAACTCCAGCGGGACCAACGCTAGAAGCAGGTACATGTTTCGGGGTTGAGAGTACTCTTGGATACTCTTGGGATGCTCTTGAATATTTATAGGAGTACTTAGGAAGAACAATATAAATATGTATGACCAGTCACAGGCTCAGCAAACGGAGCTTCAACGACCGCGGGCCCAACCCCTCGAGAGTACGCTCTCCGGCCCGAGGGTAACGTATGGAGATAGGTACCCCCCTTCCAGAATACATTAGTTAGCATTAGTTAGGCGCATACATCTCTGCACCAACCAGTATCCTTTGTATCTTGCTGGCACGCAGATAACCATACGTTGCAGCATTTGCCACAAACTTGACCAGCCCGACGTGTGGCATTAGGACATGCTTCGCCTGTGTGATTTCCCCATCCGCCTGCATGTTCTTTGCGGCAGCCGATGACGAGTGTCGCGGCGAGATACAGAGCAAGGGTCCCTCGTAAATGGAAAGCCTCATCCTAAACCCTAAACCCTAAACCCTGTGTACATGGAAGGTCTAAAAGGAAAGCCTCATGAAGTCATTCAGTGATGAGTGGGAGTCTTGAGCTCCAGCACTACTGGCCTCAGTGTTATTCAGCGTTTAACTTTATAGGAGCCTGAATGATTAGAATAGGGTTGAGGGTTGAGCGTTGAAGGTTCAGTACTATATAAGCCTCATGAATAACTCAAGGGCTCCTATGAAAGTTAAAGGGTTTTTACATAGGCTACTACGGTTGATGATATAAAAATCCTGCACTACCTTAAGGGCCCTAAACTAACGGAATTATGGTATACTCCTCACTATGGGTAATGCAGGATTTACATCGTCAATCGTATGAGGCATACAATCAAGGCAATACACCTGACAGGGCCATCGTGACTAGAATAGGGCAGGCTGGCGTTATAGAGGCCATATCTACAATAGGGACTATAAGAACATGCAATTATTGCGTATTCCGAGTGCTAAATTACATAGCAGACGGTGTTGCTGTAGCCAGAAAGTGAAAATAGAGGGCTCAAGTGCATAAGACTTATGTACTACCCTAACATACTATTCAGTAACTAAAGCCTACACCACTACATAAATCCCTTGCAAAACACTTGCAAAACCCTTCAAGAACTCTTACACAACCTTAATAATTAGGTTGTTTGGACCCTTATCGTAATATAACACCCTATGAAACCCATACAAAGCCCTAAAAAGCACCACGAAACCCGAGCAATGCGAGAAACAAATCACGAACACCGAAAAGATATCCCTACTTCCACAAAAAGCCTACAACTAAGAACCCCTTTTGATTGACAACCTTAGAAGCTCTTGTAAAGCGTGCCCGAACTTTCGCAAAACGACACCCTGCATAAACCCCGCTCCCAAACCCAAAATCTTAAACCCTTAAACCCTAAAACCTAAACTCCTAGACCCTAGACCCGAAACCCAAAACCCCAAACCCGCCTCGAACTCGCGGAGCGCTCCCTCCAAACGGAGGCGATTCCCAGGGCACCGGCAGCAGCCAAGGAGGATCTGAAGCTCCTGCGGCTTAGAGTTTAGGATTTAGGGTTTAGGGTTTAGGGTTTAGGGTTTAGAGTTTAGGGTTTAGGGTTTAGGGTTTGGGGTTTAGGGTTTAGGGTTTAGAGTTTAGGGTTTAGGGTTTCGATCTATAC